TTATGAACAAAACTCAAACTTACAAAAAACCATATATAAAAACCTATCTAATGAAACTTAAACAACAAATATTAACTTAATTAAGGTTATTTTCAAATTGATAAATCGTTTAATACAAATATAAATACTATAAATATAGAATTATATCAAGTTTTGACCTACGATATAAAAACTATTTACAGCAATAAAAAAAATATACACCTACTTATACGTACTAAAACTATATTATAGCCTAACTATTCCTATAAACCTTACTTCGCATATAAATAACATTTAACACAATATATATACAATAGTTTCACTTTACAGTCTTATACATTCTTTCCATTTCATTATTATTTGGTGATTAGAAGAATCCACTAAAGCAACAATCGCAAAAAATACACGCAAACAAAATGATCCCAGTCCCGCGCTTGCGCGGGGAGTATGCAACTAGTACTACTAATCCAAAACTAAATCATTGTTTAAGGCAAACACAATGATCTCAGCCCCCACACACACACTCTCACATGTCAGACTTCATCACGATTCAATCATCCTGTCACTAACAACTTTATCCATCACAATGAATGTGACCTTTTAATGGTGCACATAGATTTTAGTGACTTTCAGATTCTCAGACTTCTAACTTGACAAAAAATCCCTACAACACTCTTTATCACATATATCTTCTAAGGAACATCCTATGCTTGAATTTTTCTGTTGTAATGAGCTTAGTTAACATGTCATCTGCATTTCACGAGGTGTACATATTTTCAAGTAAGACTTCTCCAGAATCTGTTAACTCCCTTATTTTGTGAAAACTTTAGCTATGTGCTTGTCCTTGCATGAAACACTTGATTCTTAGCCAAACACAATGAGCTTTTACCATCACAGTGTAAGTGAACACTTCCTTGATCAAACACTCAACTCGAATACAAGTTCTTGTATCCAAACTGCTTTCTTAACTATGATATACTATAGATTTTAATTGTTTTCACTCATAGTATATGTGCTTTTTAGATACAATTAAATGTGTTTGGATTCTATTTTAGATTTATTATAGGTCCAAGTACATTTTGGAGCAATGTAGATGTTTTGGAGCATTCTAGAGATTAATGATGGGGAAACTCATAGCTGTTGAAAAATCAGAAGTCATAGTCGAAATTCAGGATGAAAGTTGGTCAACAATACCCTCTTAGTATTAATCGACATTGACGCGAGAGATTGGGCCGACTTATCCGTGGAAGACTTGAAGCCTAGATGATCCACATAATTACAAGACTACTCCTTGCCAATCGAGTACCTACTATTTATGTGTTTTGCTATTGCTTAGGGAAACGACAAGATTTTCTATTCTCTTTACTACCAAATATTATTCTATGATTTTTAGTAATTTTTGGAGAGAAGATCAAAACTCCTTTAGAGATTTGTATTGGAACGTCATTGTTTCTCTGAGTTATATTCAGATTATTGTTATTCTTTGCTTAATCATGTGTGAGTAGTTTCTGTTATTAGATTTAGGGCTTTATTAGGGTTTATATGTATTTCTAAGACATAGAACCGCTAGGATGAATCCGTAAGGATCATTCATTAGGATTGGTCTTATTGCTTGTGTTCTAAAGTAGCTAACTAGAACCATGAACGTGGGATATATATATAACTACGACAGTAGGTTCAATACCTGATAATAATTCTGCTTAGTTAGGTTGTTAGATACATACAAAAGCTGGTCCAGATTAACTTAGTGAACATACCGATTAGGATGTTAATGCTTTTCTAAAGTAGTATTGATTGAAACTTTTAACATAGCATCGATAGACACTCATTCCTTGTTTACATGCGATAGATAGCTGGAACAAATACTTAGTCATCTGATTAGACTCGCAGTGAAAGCTAGATATCTTACTTTAGTATTCGATTTCTAAGACGGTTTACCACACACCCTTAGAAATATAAATTATCACAATACTATAACATGAAACCCTAGATCTAAATATTTATTCTCATAGTTTACAAATCAACTGCTTAATCAATCTTACTATCTACTGCTTTATAATTACTTGCCTAGCTTAATCTTAATATTAACAAGTCTATGTGTGTCCACGTTTATGTGAATTCGATCCCTAACTATTACAATTGAACCTCTTATTTGAAAGAGAAAGTTTCTTATAAGGTAATTTGAGTGATATCAAGATACTTCTCCAATTGCCATATATTCAGCTTATGTAGTTTACATCACTATAATATATCGATGCACTGACCTCCAACAATAGTTAACCTTCAATTTTTCTAGATCTCCACCATAATTTGAATTCATGAATCCCCCAACTAAACTACACTCTTGGCCTCCAAACATGTTTATACTCGTAAGTATCCTAGAGCATATCTAATTGGGGCTCTTCCCATTGGGGTTCTTTTTTTTTTTTAAACATCAAAAGGCTATTCTATTACTCAAGCTTGAAGTGGTCTGGGAATCGAGACCGGAATAGAACAACCAACAAAACACAGCTAACGATAAAAATTACGTGCAACCCTAGCTAAACCATATGCGGTCCGATTTTGCGTCCTTGGCACATATGAGATCTTAAAATCTGGAAGTCTGGTCTTCAGTAGGGCGAGCTCTCCTAGTTTTGTCGAGAAGCTTGGCCAGTCCGTCTGGTTCTGTATCATTGCCATAACATTCCTACAGTCCATCCCAAAGTGCTGACATGCATTATTCTGAATCATCATCTCCATCGTCCACTTCAGCGCTTCCAATTCTGTATGCAAAGAAGACATACGATTTTCTTTGTTCCTTAGACCTAAGAGCTGTTCCTTCCCTAGCCCATCCATCCAAACCCATCCATATCCACTTTGGAATGCTTCTTCAGTCCATGATCCATCCACTAGACAAATGTCTTTCAAGCTTAGGGCTTGCGTATCCATTTGGTATATCTGGTCTACTTCAGTGTTCTTTGCATATTCTTCAAACCAAGCATTGCGTTATTTTTCTGCATGTCTCACCAGTTCAAGGGGATCTCTTGAGATGCCTCTGAAGAGTTTATCATTTTGTGCTTTCCATAAGAACCAAACAACCCAAGGGTAGGGGTCCTTATCTAGATCAGGGTCGTCAATCTCATTCTTTTGCCAAAACAGGTAGTCCATATTTGCGAATATGCTCGTTGTTGGGAAGGTTCCTGGGCGTGAGGGTGACGATGCAAGGGCCCATGTCTGCAAGGGCGGTGGACATTCAAAGATAGCATGGTTAGCAGATTCATCTGGTTCACCACATCTGGGGCAAAAATTGTCGCAACGCATATGGCATCTTGTCAGGTTCCCCGTGACTGCTATATATATAGATACCAGCTGCCATATGAGGTGGCGGATCTTCTGTGGAGCCTGAATTTTCCAAGAAAAATCCTTTAATCTGGTTACACTTGGTTCCTCGACCTTCTCTTCAATCTTGCGGGTCAGAATGTTTCTCGCGACCCAATAGCCTGATTTCACTGTGTACATCCCATGTTGAGTATAGCTCCATGTGTACTTATCTTCTCTATGAGACTGGCTTATGGCCAATCTCCGAATAAGTGTAACATCTTGAACAATAAGATTCTCCAGCATCTCCACATTCCATACCTTTGGTGAACCCTGGATCATGTCACTAACTATCATTCTTGGATTTACTATTGGATTAATTGCACGAGCCGGTCTTAATATATGTATAATGTATATATATATATATATATATATATATATATATATATATATATATATATATATATATATATATTATATGTATAAGTAATTGTGGGATCCATAATTTTTGTAGAACCCCACAAGTAAGAGTTCTTAAAAGAGAATTTTAAGAATCTTTAAAAAATCATTCTTTATGGAATTCCACAATAATTGTAGACTCTATAGTTATTTACGCATATATATATACTAAGAATCTCAATGGAAAAACCCTCATTAGATATTCTCTTAGAATTCACTTGATAGCATTCCAATGACTTCTATGAGGATTCCACATATACTTTCTTATTTGACTAACTACTTGTGTTAGACTCAGTCTAATCCACAACTTTGTGTACATCAATCATCCAATTGTGCTAACATAAAGAACTTGTGCTATATTTATGATCTCTTCAGCATGCTTAGATCATTGTTTACAAAAAAAAAAAATATTTGAGTGTTTCGCTAAAGGTGTAAAAACCGATTTTGCATTTACCATTTCAAGACATTCTCGGACATTTTCAATAAAACTCTTATGAGAAAGATCTCTTATTGTTTCTATCCCTGCAAAATTTCATTCAAGAGTCTTCTTTGCAGCATCAAGATCGTTCATTTCAAATTCATTTTCAGTATCATCCATATCTTTTCCAGCAATAAACAAATTATCAAAATACAACAACAGGAATGTGGGGGAAAGGCTGTCAAAGAATTAACATTAACTCATCAATCATTTTCACACTTTTGATAGCTGATCTTCAGCATATAAAAAGCCAAAATGTGTGTACGATTACTGAGAAACGTGCTTCAGTCCGTAGTGAAACTTTTTCAATCTACATATAAGCTGCTCTCTTTATGTTAACAAATTTTAAGATGTTTCATGATGAAAAACTGTATTTTACACCTAGTACATCTTACATCCATTAAACCTAGTACATCTTGTATGAAAATATATTTTACTATAGAAGAACCTTTTGTTGTAGTCTATTCTAAATTTTGTGCATACTTTTCACTAACAATCTTGCTTCAAACTTTATTGCTTTTTTCATATATTCTTATTTTTTTCTTGAAAATCCATTTGCTGATATTTTAAGATAGTAAATAATTGCAAGATAGTTAATAATTGCCATGAAACTTCTTGTACTGTTTATTTTAACGTGCCAAACAAAATTTTGGCCAAAAATACTACAATGTTTGAGTGATAAAATTACTTTTGATTTAAAAAAATCCTCTTTTTTTACAGTGCAATCATATATTACACTGAATGTAAGAACATACCTTTTAATTAATAACAACTATTCATGCAATCTAAATTTCTTAGGTAAGTGGAATAGGTTTCATTAGTTGTTGAGCAGTTCATATCTATTACTAAAACTTCAAAAGCAAAAGACAATTTGTAAATGTCAATATGATGATCTTTACTTGCATTGACTGCAAAACCGATGTCTGAGTATTTGTTGGAGTTTAACTCATTTACAATACTCTATTTCTCTACTAACTCCGGTGTGGTTGGGTCAGAGACAACACTGTGCCACCACATAGAAAGAATTAACCAGTCAATGTTATCCTCCATTCAGCGACATCCTTCCGAGCTAGTTCAGACCTCTAACGTCTACCTCGGGATTTTTCCTCCAAGGACTGCAACCCACCAAAGAGTTTAAACTAGTTTTCATTTACTGAATCTGAGAGAAACATTTAGAGAAATGATAAGAAGAAGAACCTTTATCTTATTTCGGAGATCTTCGTCCTCCTTGTCGCGTCTGTCTCTATCCTCTGAGAATATGTCGATTAAACTCTCTTGCTCTTTCTTCACTTCTTCTAACTCGTCTTTTGTTCTTTGAACCTACAATCAATACCAAGAGAGTGATTGTTAGCTTATAGGTTTTGCAAGAGCAGACATATTAAAATGTTCAAGTGAGTACAATTTATTATACCTCCGCTTCAAGTTTCTTGCGAAGCTCTTTCTCACGTCGCAGCTCTTCTTGCAACGACAAGTAAACTGCTTCTTTTTTATTTAGCCTGAGAATAAGAAAAAAAAAAACACAAAGCAGCTTAACAAGTGAGAAACATTAATCCTATAGGGCAATTTAGCTTAAGGTAACAAACCTTTCTTTTAAGGTTTCATTCTCTTGCTCCAGTTGACTGAGGGTACGTGAGTCAGCAGAACGTGGCTTGGGTTGTTCGAAGTTCTGCGAGAACAAAGCACAAAAAGGGAATGTTCATAATCCTATTTACCGGAGAAAATAGGTAAAAAAATCATAGAAAGAGCATGGACGACCTTCTCAGGAAGCTCAGTGGCATTTTCTTCACCCGATGGATCGTAATCAGAGTGATCATCACTATTAACATCTTCTACAGCTTGAGGAGCTCCTTTAGGCTTTGCTCGTCCATTTAATTTGGAAGAGGTGTTTCCAAATTTACCACTTTTCTCAGAACCGACCCCTTTAGAATCTCTAACAGATCCTTTTCCTCCACGATTCACATTTTTCCTTGAGTCGAATTGCTCTGCAGCAGCAGCAGAAGCAGCTGGAGCTTTAAAGCTCGACGACGCAGCAGCTCTTTTCCTGGTTGAGACGGCATATTCTGGTGAAGATTCTACAATGTCCAAGAGAATTGTTTAGCACACACGTATGCTAAAATCCGGTTATAAAAAAGGATGTTGTACCTCTGTCTTCAGAGTCTTTAACGGCCTTTTTGCCCTGTGCTGAAACATATCCAATTTTGTGACAGTTCTTTCTCCTGAGTAAGAGTAACATAGGCGCAAAGAGTTCATCAAGCATCCGAGCTTAAGAAGCGGCAATTTCTAAAAGCAAGAGAAGAGCAACAAACCAATAATTCTTCTGCATTATAAGTAGCCTTGTCTCCAGTCTAGACAAAACTGTTGTACGCTCGAAACCTTGCTTGTCATGAGCAGGCTCAACGAAATTAGCTTCCAAAACCCCTTTGGTACCAGAATAAACTTAGCATTAGACTTCGCATTATAAGGCCAATCATATATTATAGACCTTCCTGTTAAAATATACCTATGACCCCACGACCTTGACTTCCTGCTGCATTCCATATCCTCCAAAATGGCTGACAAAACAAGTGGGACAGAGTTAAGTAAGGAAAAAAACTGACAGAAACAATGTTAAGATAAGCCAAAAGAAAGAGAAACCTTAATAAGGCGATTCTTGTGGTAAACATTGAAGCCTTGAACATCAACGTGATGTTTTGCATCCTTAACAAATCCAATGGTCACAACAGCAGACATCTGCACACAACCAAATATAGTTATATTTACATACTGCGCAAGTTCTTCAAATAAAATTACAGGAATAAGTCTTTTGAGTATAAGTTGTGAAAAACATACATTTGAGAAATTAGATTGTCCACCGGGACCTTCTTTTGGACGATATGTGACTTGGTCTGTGTGCATCATGTCATTCACTATGTTGTGATGCTCAACATCTCTTCCTCGGAGAATGATACGGAACTCAGGTGGAACCCTTAGGTATAGAATAGATACATAGCTCTGGAGACAAGCCAAAAGATAACAAATGAATTTCGTAAAACAACAGAAAAACATCTGACAACTTTTAAACACCATTGGATCCATCTGTCAGTAGTTTAAGAACTTTCTCAGTGATAGTAGCAAAAAACTAAACCGAACTATTAGATAAAACAAATTCAACTGCCACTTTTAAGGAAAGACGGATAGAACATTCATACTCTGAGTGAATGCTTGTATGTCAGGAAGTGTCTAGAGTTAGGGTACTGAGTAGCCATGCTGATACTTTTCTCATCCCGATTGACCCCTCTAAGTTGGATATCCTACAACAAAACGTGTGTCACGTATACAAATACAGAAAGCTTCTGGATAGTTGCAGATCATAATCACAGTAAAAAACACGTACGTGTGGATCCGTGTCAAAATCAAGCTCTAGCAGTCCTTGGTCATCTTCCCAGAGGTTATAGATGATTATCCTTGTGCCATGCTCCTTCATTAGATTAAACTAAAACAGCAGAGTAATAAATTAATGGAAATATTCTCAAGATATTAATAAACAGGTAGTAGTGTTTGAGGACTCGCATCGAAAGATTGATAGAGACCACAATCCAAATAAACCATAGCTATTGAATATTATAAGAAAAAAGTCACTACACCAATTCCTCTGTTTTACCTGGCAAAGAAGTTCGTCTTCAGAAGAGAATGGCGACCACTGAACTACCGTTTCCACGTTCTTATTCCAATCACTAATTGAAGACCGTAATATTGGACTCCACTCTGAACCAGTTCTTTCGTAGTCGAGCTTTATTTAAATCACCATCGGAAGAAGATTAGAAGAGATAAATTGGCAATTTCACTAGAATGAGAGAGATACATGGACAAACAGTTAACTCTGAAGCAGACATAGGTTTTCACGGAGTTTGACGCCTAATTTCTATTAAAGATGTACAGCACGAACAAACTAAGAAATCCGACATCAAAAGCATACTCCAAGACAAACTAGGATTAAATTAGCTACTCTGAAACAGTGTCTGCTCTACATAACTTTCTTATGCTTACAAATAAGTCACATGATATCGATTATTCAAGATTATCAAGGGTTGAAACCAATATATGAATGGTTATTTCACACAGCTAAACTGCGGTAACTTACCATGGGTACAACAATGTCCTCTTTTCCTGTGCTCTTCAGAAATGTGTACGATAGCAGCCCAATTGTCTGTGTAAAGCTATAAAACCAACATCAAGTAAACAAAACAATGTCAAACTCTTGTTGATATTTTTAACAGTATCCACCAAAATCATCAAAGGCAAGACCGCTAATAGAAAACAAACCTGTCTCCATCTTTTCCAGGGCAACGTGAGAATACAATAACATCAGCTCCCAGTCTCATTGTACTAGTCTTGAATCCGTTGCCATCTTCAAAAGGCATATGAACTTAAGTGTCCTGTTGTAAGCATATAAAATATCTATCGCAGGTAGAAGAGTCCTTACACTGTCCAATGGTGTTTGCAAGTTTACTCTTGGCAGAGTATCCGAGAGACATGCAGTGTCGCATCTTCTCAGGATTCATTCCACCTCCATTGTCTGAAATTTTCAAAAACATAGGATTGCAACAATCTCAAAACGTGATACAAAAGAATTTAAAAAATAAAAATAAAAATAAAACAAAAAATCTCTAGAGAAAATGCATCAGCTTTAAACCTTCAATCAAGAGCATCCTGCTTCCATCTTTCTTATTGTTTAGCATGTTGACATTAACATATGTAGCTCCACTGTGAACCTGATTGAGAAAGAAAACGATTACTACCAAAACAGAAGTGTAAAAAGCACTTTAAGAAATTGTCAAATATTTCCAAATAAAAAGAAACAAAACAAAACATCCCCCACCTCATCTAAAGCATTGTCCAAAAGCTCAGCAAAAGCTGCAAAATATGAAACAACAAACATTTTTAATCCAACCTCATAAAAAGAATAAAAAAAAAACTTGATTAAAAAAAAAAAGTACCTCCAAGAGCCCACTTGTGACTTGTTGCGTTAGAGTGCAAGAACTTGGGATGGACTCTCACATGATCAAACCCACCTGCCAAAAAAAAACAATTAGGGTTTGTGTTTTCATTAACATTAATAGACAAATATACAAACAAGTTCGATATTGAAACAATTAGGGTTTGTATTCCAATCCAAAAAGAGAAGCAAGTTTTGCACCTGCAGAAACTTCCCAATGACCACCAGAAGTTCCTTCGTAGTCCCCAGCTTTCCAGAACTGCTTGCAAGACGGTGACGGAGAAGGCCGCACGACGTTACAAGGCGTCGCCGGAAGAGCCACTATGGCTTGTTCCGATGATTGCCCAAACCCTTCTTCCTCAGCCGAAACCGCTACCCTCTTCGCCGGAGTATTTAGAGTACCACTTCGCGCTCTCTTCTCGCCGACGGAGGAGACGATTCTAGAAGCATCGCCGTCGTCTTCTTCGTCGCTACTGCAGAGATCGATTACGGAGGGTTCGTTGCCGTTAACGGCAGTAGGAGTGGGTAGATTCTCTTGCTTTACGCGGATATCCATTAGAGAAAGAAGAGAACAGAAGAAAAGAAAAGTAAAGAAGAAAGATTGATGAGGAAGCGAAGATGGTGAAAGGGGAAAGCGAATCGATTTTCTCAATTTTTGTTTTCGAAAACTTTGTTTGGAAAAGCATTAACTGATCTCCGAGAATGGTGACTGCAGAAAAGGTTAAAAAGCTTTTATCATTTAATGATCTGACAAACGGTGCCGTTTGGATCGTTTTCCTAACCTTTCTCTCTCGTGAGACTATTAGACTACGCAGTACTTAATGATCGTTAGTCAACTTTTTTTTCTTTTCGTGGATTATTTTTTTTAGAGCCTATTCATCAAGCAAGACAGGCCCAACGATTATTTTTTTAGAGCTTATGCCCAACCACTCGCAATAAGATTTAGAGAATTATTAACCAAATGGATTTTTAGATTTAAAAAGGATTAAAAACAAAAGAAAGATGAAGGTCTGCCTCTTGCGGAAGGTTTCGAAGGCACGCCTCTTCAGTGTTAGGTGTTAAAATATGAGAGGCAGTTGGTTCGATTACGCGTTTGACCCGATCAACTCTCTCTCTCTCTCTCTCTCTCTCTCTCTCTCTATCTATCTATCTCTCTCTCTCTCAATCTCAACCACTCTTCGAAGAAAGGCGATTTTAACGTCTCCTTCAGTGGTTCACGTTGACGGCATCCATTTCGGTGGCTCGCATCAGCAACATCTCCTTCAGTGGCTCCTGTCGGCGACCTCTCTCTCGGTAGTTCTCTTCGAGGCAATGGAGATCTCTCTTGGTGTCTCTCCTGAAATCGAAAGGTAAGCGGTGGTTGTGTTCACTCTATGCATGTCTTAGATTAGGCATCTTCTTGATATGATCGGTTGTTTTCTATGTAGTTTGTTGGTTGTTGTCGAATCTGTCTTTCGGTGGGTCTTCTCCTCGAAGCTTTCCCTCGGTGGTTCACCTTAAATCGAAAGGTAAACGGTTTGTTTGTAACTCTGTGCTGTTGTTTTAAGATGGATAGTTCAAATATGATTAGTTTGTAAGTGTGTTTATATTAAGACGAATAGATCAAATATGACTTGCTATGTTTCAAAACTTGCTCTGTTTTTGTTATTTGATTTGTTTTTCGCTTTTGTTTCTCTGTCTCGTGAATCATAAACTAATGCACTGATATTTCCATGTCTGTTTGTGGTGGAAGACGAAGAAACATCAAATGGGGAAGAGTACATTTGGTCGAGCAATACATGTAAAAGTCTTCTTCTTTTGAATTGATTGAATTGTTTATTGTTGAGTTAGGTAATAGTTAATCTTTGCTTAGTTGAAGGTTATGGTTGTGTTAGTAATCAATGGGTGTTTCTGTTGTGCTTCTTTTGAATTTTTGTTGTAGTTTGAATTGAATCAAATGTAATTAATGTGTACGTTTTAGAGTTAGAATATGGTTCTATGATAAATAGAAATGATGGATATCTAGAATTGCAGTTGAAACTCATTTTTTATTGTTATAAACACACATTCCTCCTTCTATTCCTTATCATCTTCTTCTTCTTTATTCTCAACTTCTTCTCGGTATGGATCCTCATCAAAGCCAGTCCTCTAGCTATGTAAACTTACTAAACAGCCAAGTTCATAACAGTGAATACCCAACTCAGTTTCTAAGTTTTTCACCTAGTCCAGACCTTGGAGGATCCGCATCTGCTTCACATTCACAAATTGGCGAGGATCGTAAGCAAAGGTGCAAGTGGTCAACAGCTGAAGACCTAGTCCTCATCAGTGTCTGGTTGAACACCTCCAAGGATCCACTAGTGGGAATGAGCAAAAGGCAGGAACCTTTTGGAAGAGGATTACCTTTTATTATAATGCAAGTCCCAAGGTGGTTGGTTTGGCTCCAAGAGAGCAGACCCACTGTAAGCAAAGGTGAGGAAAGATAAATGAAGGCGTTTGCAAGTTTGTGGGGTGTTTTGACTCTGCAACAAAACAAAGGACCAGTGGCCAGAACGAAGATGATGTTTTGAAGGCTGCACATCAGATATTCTTCAACGATTACAAGTTGAAGTTGTCATTGGAGCATGCGTGAAGGGAGCTTAGGAATGATCATAAATGGTGTGGAGTTATGGAAGTAGTCAACAAAACTCTGGTTTAAAAAGAAAGAGGATGGGGGGGGGAAGAACAATCTTATCAGTCATCAACATCTATGCCGAGTGTGAATGGAGAGGATGAGGGAATGGCTAGGCTTATGGGTGTTAAGGTTGCCAAGGCGATGGCTAATGTGGGACATAAAAAAGGTCAGTGGGAGAAGAAGTTCAGAAGCTGGAAGCGTTCAAGGAAATGTGGGACATAAAGGCGAGTGACTTAGCTTTGAAGAACAAGCTTAACAAGAGCAAACTGGTTGAGATTTTGCTTGCAAAAACAAAACCACTTAGTGAATTAGAAGTGGTGCTTAAGAAAAAATTGATTACCGAAATCTTGTCAGTGTAATCTTCTAAACTTATCAATGTAGTTGATGTGTAATATAAGTAGTTCATATGTAATATAAGTAGTTGATGTGTAATATAAGTAGTTTCTTTGAAATTGTTGTTGATGTGTAATATAAGTAGGGTGAAGGAATCAGAAGATGACATTGTACCTTAAGTGAGAAGAATGCTGAAAAGGATGCAAGAGGAAGAGAAGAAGTTGAGAGAGGAGAAGTTCAACCGTTTGAAGTCGGGAATCAATCTAGAAGAGGGACAATCCTCTGAGGGTAACTGTCCGTGAGTCTCTTTCTTTGGACTTTGCTTCTTTCACATGTCACGGATGGTTGTTGTTTCATATGTCTTTGGACGTTTCTGAACTTTGTTTCTTTCACATGACTTGCTAGGTTTTTTGTTTGTATTAGTCATGGATTGTTGTTGTTTCTTATGTCATGGATTGTTGTTGTTTCTTATGTCACAGACTTTTGTAATCACATGACTTTTGTAGTATAAAGTATGCATGTCTCTTGGTTATACAATTCAACTTCTCTCCCTTCCTCTCTTTCTCAACATTCACCAAGTAATCTCATAAAAAAACCAAGATCAATACACTTCCCCTTTTCTACTCGTTACCACGATCAATACACTTCCCTCTACTTACCAAACACACATCAAGAAGTCAACTTGTTACCCAATTTTTTTTTTAAAAAAACATTTTTTTCGATCACAAGTATGGTATCTAACCATTTAGGATTTAACCATTGGTCATCAAGAAAAAGCAAAGAAACAAAGAAAAAAAACAAGCTTATATCGAAAGAAATCGTGAAGAAGGGCATATTCGTTTATGGAATGATTATTTCAGTGAAACTCCAACGTATCCCGCAAATATGTTCCGGCGATGATTTCAAATGAACATGCCGTTTTTCATGCATATTGTTGAACGACTCTCTGATGAAGTTGAAGTTTTTCAACAAAAGATGGATGCTCTCAGAAGGATTAGTCACTCTCCACTTCAGAAGTGTACAGTGGCCATTCGTTTCTTGGCATATGAGACTGCGGCTGATGCTATTGACGAATACCTCCGACTCGGTAAAACTACTACATGGTCATGTGTGGAACATTTTACGGAAAGCATAATATATTTATTCGGCGAGGAGTACCTAAGAAGACCAACACCGACTGATCTTCAACGTCTCCTTGATATTGGTGAGCATCGTGGATTCCCTGGGATGATAGAAAACATCAATTATATACATTGGAAATGGAAGAATTGTCCCACCTCTTGGAAAGGTCAATATACACGTGGTTCGGAAAAATCCACAATCGTTTTAGAGGCGGTTGCATCATATGATCTATGGATATGGCATGCATTTTTTGGACCTCCACGTACCTTAAGTGATATCAATGTTCTTGATCGTTCACATGTTTTTAATGACATAATAAATGGTCAAGCTCCGCAAGTCACTTTCTCTGTCAATGGAAGAGAGTATCATATGGCTTACAATCTCACCGACGGTATTTATTCAAAATGGGCAACTTTTATCAAACCAGTTTCAATACCACAAGGGCCAAAAGGGGTTTTATTTGCTCAACAACAAGAAGCTATCCAAAAAGATGTCGAGCGTGCTTTTGGAGTCTTGCAAGCTCGCTTTGTTATTGTTAAAAATCCAGCACTTTTTTGGGATAAAGTCAAAATTGGGAAGACAATTAGAGCATGTATCATACTCCATAACATGATAGTAGAAGACGAACGAGATGGATACACTCAATATGATGTTTCAGAGTTTTAACAAGGAGAAGACGCCGGAAGTTCATATGTCCATGTCATATTCTCTACTGATATCCCTACAAATATCGGTAATATGATTGATGTTCGAACTAGAATTCGTGATAAACACATGCATCAACAACTGAAAGTTGATTTGGTTGAACATATATGGCGTAAATTCGAACGTGATCAGGACAACAACTAAACTCGCATGTTTCTTTCAAATTATTCTTGTTTATTTACTAATCTTAGTTTTAATGTTATTTTTAATAATTAATGTTTAAAACGCTTAATTTTAATATGTTATATTTAATAAATAAATTTTATCTTAAAAAAATTTTAGTTTAATATTTTTTTTCTTAAGAACCCCAAAAAAATAACTCCCGTTGTACCTAACAAATTAATTGTCTCTTAAATACAACCTCTTAACTTTTATTAATTACTACAAAATAATGAAGAATCCAAATTAACCTCTTAGGGTTAGATATCCATTTTCATAGTCACACAAATGGATTAACGTGACTTTAGTGGGTTTCAAAGCATTGTGAACCTTTCCAAAGTACTACCTTTCCCATTCTCATTAGTCAATTTTACAACATGAATTCAAAAAGATAATAGAGAATTATGCTCTACCATCAAAAAATACTATTATTTGAGAATTAATTTGTTTAGTTGTCATGTTCTCCATAATTTTAAGTCGTTTTTCTTAGTTGTCAATTTTTCCACAATTTTAGGTAATTTTTGCTTCTTTGTCATGTTTTAATAATTTTATATAGGATTTTGAACATAAAATCCCTCCCCCAATTAAGTTTATTTTGGGTAGAAACCCCTAAGTTAAAGATTCATCATAAAAACTCCCAACCTAAGTAATCATAATGAATTGGGCCCTCCGTTACTCGTCACGTTAAAATGTTGGAAACCCCTCGTTTACTTGTA